AATAAAATAAAGTAAACAAGTATAAGCTCGTGAAACGAGCTAACAATATCCTACTCTAATGATTGAGAATGAAAATTTTATTTTTTTATTTCGGAAAATCTTTAGCTGTCTTTTTCTTAGATTTTATGTTTATAAATGAATCCATATTCGAATACAATGAACGAAACGAGAGTCTCGTTTAATCGAACACATTGGTGGCAAATTCTGTTGTAACCATTGAACATATTGATCATCAATTGATGATGAATAATTGCTCCAACTCCAATTATCATCTCGAGATTGAACAATCAATGCTCGGAGAGTATGCAATGAATTGACAAGATAAAGTATATTCATTCGATTTTGAACTTTGATAAAAAGTACTTCACAATGTTTTATCAATGATGAATCACGTATATGAATACATTCTTCATCGTTAAACCACCAATCATAACCTCGTAGATTAACTTGTCGAATTGATCGAGTTTTCAAGACGATTGGTGTCATTTTTTCAGTCATTGAAGAATTTCGATTGAGAAACTGATCTTCTCGCCATGAGTTAAATCTCAATGAATAGAGATGAGGTGCATAATTAAGTATATTTTGCAATTGTAACTGAGCATCAATATCCGACATGCTTTTTGATCTTGATACTTCTAATGAACTTAATCGATGAAGTTTTTGAATGATTGATAATAAATGATTGTTAATAGGAAGTGTTACTGAAAGATAAGTTGTATTTGGAAAATTAAGATTAGATACAATCATTTTGTTTGTTAAGGAAGAACGATAAACTAAATGTTGAACATAGTTATATGATGAATAATAATCATCATTGTCATTCGGACAAGTCGATTTGAAATGAACAGGAAAGAAAATATCAAGGTAAGAAAAACTATACGGTAAAGTATAGAGACAAATCATATTGGAACTATCATCTAGATTATAATGATATCGAACAAACCATTGGTGTTCTTCAAGCCAAAATCGAGTTTGAAATGAATTGAATAATTCGTTTTTATATTTCTCACTTCTAACTCCGAATCTCATTTTCAATTTAAATACTTCTAATTTCGGTAAATAATTACGAATAATCTGTTCCCATTCATGTCCATTCATTTCAAAATACATAGTTTCGATTTTCAATCGGCATAAATTCGGTACGTGTTGTAACATATTCTCTATGATACCATATTGTGAACCAACAAAAACAAGATTTAATTCAGTTAATGATGAAAATGATGTTTGTATTTCTACACCAGAACAAGTACTA